GGGAACGCCGGACCCCCTTCGTGCTATGCCCATCGTCGGATCGGATCTCGGACCCCCGTCCTCCCCCGCGGCACAAAGGGGTCTGGCGTTCCCGTCCTCCCCCACCGCACATAGGGGGTTCGACGTTCCGGGAGCGCCGGACCCCCTTTGTGTTGTGGCCATCTAGGGGCGCGGATGGACCCACTTCTTCCCCCGCAGCACAAAGGGGGTCCGGCGTTCCCGGAACGCCGGATCCCCTTGGTGCTCTTGCCGGCGACGGGGAGGGAGGGGGCCCCTTACTCTCTGGCAGCACCGACATGGGTTCAGCGTTCCGGGAACACCGGACCCCCCTCGGTGCTGCTAGAGGGAGGGGGAGGGACGGACATGAAACGCCGCGGAGTTCCATCGGGGACGCGGGCGAGGGAGGGGTCCGGCCAACTACCATGCCGACAGGCACGCTGGTGCGGTCTGCTATTTAGGGGACGCCAAACCCCCACACGCAACCGTGGTACGCCGGACGTCTATGGAACGAGGGTCGGGGTGTCGGGCGTCTAGGGAACGCCGGACCCCTTTTCAGATGTGGTCGGGGGTCGGGCGTTCTGGGAGCAAATGACCCCCTTTCATAAATGCCCCGAGGGGGGCGGGCGTTCTGGGAACGCCGGACCCCCTTTCATAAACGATGGTCGGGGGTCGGGCGTTCTGGGAACGTCGGGCCCCCTTCCATAAACGAGGGTCGACTCCACATGCGAAGCGCTTCTGTTTGTTCCTCATTTGTTCTTTGCTTGTGCGTTTCCTTTGTTTGTGCCCTCTAGGTCAACCTGCTGCTTCGTCCTCTCGGGCATATGGCAGGTCAAAAATCTACAACAACAAACCATGGGCTCTGGATTGGGTTGGTGGTCTGCATAGGCCTGGGTGTGGGGCCGTCGTTTTCTTGAACGACGACAATGGTGCGACGTGGTACTGCTGTGGGGGTGTTGAGAAATCTGAGAGCGCCAGGAATACCTACGACGGGAGGACGTTCAACACCTTCTTTCTTACATCAGTTTTCGACAAGGATGGGACAAATTGGGTCAAGGAAGACAAGAAGGTCGGCCTTGACTTGCGGCTCTTTCAAGGCTACAGCGTGAAGGCTTTCTCCATGAAAGCGTTTGACGTGCGCGGGGACGGCACCGAGCTTCGCATGCTGACTGCGGAACAGTTCCTCAGTAGAACGAACGGCTACCGCGTCACTGGCTGCCTTCTTGTCGTTGAAAGTTCCTTGGAGCTCACCAAACCCTTGGCGAAATTCAGCAGCCCAGCGGACCAACTGCCAGGCGTTGTTAAGGAGTACAGGGAAGCCTTCTCGAGGCTGCCTCTGGACCAACAAGCTGACTGCGCTTTCGTGCCCTTTGTCACGAGCTCGCGGAAATCGCGACAGATGCCATCCGCGCCGGTTGGGAAGAGAAAACAGTTGGCTGCTTGTCCAGCTCCGCCTTTGCCAGCAGCGTCGCCCTCGTCCTTGCCCACGGTGAGGGGAGGTCACAATATCGCCCAATGTTCCAGCGAGGCTACGGAGTACGATGACAGAAATCTGTACGGACATAATGCTGCGCGTGACGGTGCCCAGGAACGTGCGACTGCCCTCACTGAGCGAAACGAGGAGGAAGAAGATAGGGGAAGCTGCGGTCCACGTGAAGACGACGGTGATGACGAGTATATGGACGTTGGGGATGAGAACATGCAGGACCAAAACATGCTTGGCGATGACGACGTCGGTGTCACGTTGGAGCATGGCCCTGGCAACATCCCCACCGGTTTTGTGGGAGCGGTTGTTGGTCGGCCCTTGTCGTCCCCTGCGATATGGCATTCACAAGGTGGGAGTCAGGGTGGGCATGACTTGCAGGAGCACGGAGGATCAAAGTCGAGGAAAAGGACAAGGGGGGAAGATCTGGCGGTCGTGGCGGCGGCTGTGGTGGCGCAAGAAAAGGTAAACAGATAGTGAGGGCTGAAGAACTGCGGGACTCAGGGGATGAGGGCAAGGGAGTGGGCCCTCGCATGCCCGACGATGATGATGAACCGCTTCAGCACGCTGCGCCCATCGACACGACGCTGTGTTTCTTCCTCGAGTACGACGAGCGGGGTTTTGCTAAGCAAAAAGTCCTTCCTGTTTTTGTGGATGTCATGAAAATCAAACGCATTCCCCGCGGGAATATTTTTTTCAAACACCGCGTGCTTGCGCCGGTTGACCGCAACGACATCGTTGGCGGGCAGGGTAGGCGGATAACACCGACCGAATTCTTCGAAAGAGACTCCTCGGAGTTCGATTGGTATGCTATCTATGGTCAGCATACGGTTGAGGCCATGAAGACATTGGTAAAAAAGGGCTCTCCTACAGTCGACGTCTATGGCCTCCGCGCGTACTCTAAGGTGCGGGTCGTCTATTTTGGAGATGAGCAGACTCGAGGGTATTTCAATGTCTCCGCCTTCGACAACACGCGCGAAAATCGGGTCATGATGTTGTCCTTCGAGGATGTTGTCCGTGATATGATGCAATGGTGGATCGATAACCATCGAATCGAGGGCCCGAAAGGCAAGGTCAGCGATAAGGATGTGGTCGTTGTTGCGCACCAAAAGAAGTGGCAGAATTTCTTAAGGGCCTCCATGGGGAAGGCATGCGACAAGGCGTTCGTGAAGCAGGCGCTCGAGAATGAGTACAGTAAGGATCGGAGCAATAAACTTCGTGGCTACATGAACCTCGCCACATCCACCGAGGTTGTGTGGCCACTGGTCGAGAAGTCCTTCGAGATGTTCAACGAGGGGAAGCTATCAGTTGGCAATGGTAAAATACCGCTTGACATGCCGGGTAGGATGGAGGGGCGCCAGCCAGGCACCCGTACACCGACGAGACGAAGGGGCAAAGAACATTATACCATTGCATATACGCGAGAGATGATCCCAAAGGCTCCACCGTGTCGTGGAAGGATCTTTGTCCTTCCTACTTCAAAAATTTTGGGGATTTGACGTGCCGCGAGAGGGAAGTTGCACTGCTCCTCCTCATGAAAGGGAAGGTGGTCGCGACGAACGTCAAGGTCATGCCCCCGAGAGTGAATACGGAGTGCCTCCTTGATATCATGCGCAAGGAACGGTACATGGTCCGTATGTTTAACTACGTTGTTTTTCGCGCCGAGGGAAGGGCGGATGATGAGTGGAATGATGCCTTCTTCATGTCATACAAGGACCTCGAAGACAGGTATGGGCCGAACGGTCTGTGTGCAGCTGAATGGGAGAAGGAACGGGACAAGCTGCATGTCAGCAAAGTTAAGACGATCCCTCGACGGCTTGGAGAGGTATAGGAGGCATGGCAAGGATCAGGCTTGGGCCCTACGGCGGCAACGTATAAGGAGGCTCCGTTCCACTTTAAGGTGTTTGTATACACCTCAATCGACAAGCTCGATCTGCTTTGGGCGGAGGTCAAACGGGTCGCCTCCAGCGCACGTCATATCGTGTGGGATAAACTTAAAAAACAAACAACATTGCTACCGATGTGCATGCCATTGAAGGAAGTGCTGGTTGCGCCAGACGACATTGTCGCTGCGGCGCAAAAAATGACCTGCAGGGCCGTCATCCTTGACATCTCCCCCGCTAACTTCTGCACGACATGGACCTCTCAAGAGTTCGACGCTCTGCACTCTATGGTGACTAAGTGTTGTGGCGTTAATTGGGTTATTTTTGTCTTCGCACCGCAGAAGGTGCAAAGTGATGTTCTGCGTTGCTTATTCCAGTGGGAGGACATCGAACTCATCCTCGGGACTTGGAAACGGGTGGACAGGTCATCGAATGACATCACGAGGTATGGCAATATCGCTACGGCGAGTCGAGACATGATGGTCATTGTCCTGCACGCGGAAGGAGGGGATCTCAGAAAGGTCACGGTCGCACCCCGCCTTGTCAATGACCTCACAAACGTGCATGTTGTGGAGGACAAGTTCGGGAAGTGTCTGGGGAAACACGGTGGCATAGAGGGCGATGAAAGTGTGGTGTATTCCATCTGGGAGCCAAAGCCTGGCAAGTTGCGTTCGTTGTGTGGGTCATTCGTCGGGGAGGCGGAAGGTGTGCTTTTATTGGGTAGGGCGCACGCGGGTCTTGTGTGGGAATTCTTACTGGCAGGGAAAAATGTCATTGTCTGTGACGAGTCGGCAAAGGACATTGCATACTTGACGAAGTTCATTGATATACTTGTCAAGAACGACAGATTCAACTGCCACGTCGAGAAACCGCGTTGCAAACATCGCCCGAACAGGGACATGTTCCACAAGTTGGGGCCTAAGAGACTGAAGGTGTGGGAGTACTTGTTCCGCGATATGCCATAAGGACGGCTTGACGGGAAATATATATACAGGAAAGCAAAGGCAACAGAGACCCTCAAACATTATCACGGTGCTCTCACTGGCGCCTTTGAGACTTTTGTTGCTCGATGCGAGATCTTCAAGTTCGATCTTCGCAAAGATAAATTGACGTCCAAGGACTACGCGGAGCTCGCGAAATCGGGCGATGGCTTTAACCCCGTCGACAGCGAGGAAGATTCTTCGGACTCCGACCTCGAACTGGGCGAGGACACATGTGCTGAGGTTCCGCGCGGTGGAATGGTGCAAGCTCACGATGACGGAACTGTCCATTCGCACGGAGGGTCCATCTCGGTGGCCGCCCCAAGCGTCGCCTCAATGGTGGCCCCGTCGAAGAGTGCTGCATTACAAGACATTGGAAGATGTGGTGGCAATGAAGAAGACAACATTGAGATACTAGGCGAGGCGTCGACGCTCGCACCAGGCGATGCAATTCCTTCAGCCTACTGTGCTGACCCGGACACGATATATTTCTTGGAGGGCAAACACACCCACACAGGCGAGGATCAGTGGGGCCATGACATCATATGGCATGAGGGCGTTTTACAGCCGTGCATCCAAGATGGGGAGTGGAAGATGGCGGTGAAATACACAAGCGGTTGGAAGACTTTTCGCCGGATGTCAAAGGACATCTGGTACGGAACTCGCGATCCTGCATCGCGTGCGCGTCGAGAATCCAGAGCAGAGCTAGGCCGCCATCAAAGCCAAGGCCGAAGAATTGTTTCATGTCTTGCGTGACAATCGACAACTGGAGTACAGCAACAAATTTCATGCCCTGCGCTCGAGTCCCTCACGCGGGTCAATCGACTGGAAGGTTGATCAAACCGCCAGAACCTTGGAGGGGAGCTGCTCTCATAATTTCATGCCTTCGGTTGAGCCGGCCTCTGTGGCCGCGCAAGCAGGGCACAGGGGAGATGAGGGGACTACTGCTGTCGGGCCTAAAGAGGTTGACATCACGTCTAAGCCGCAAATATCGGAAAAATCCATCTCGGTCGTCGCGGCACAATCGTCCTCACCCATCGATGTGTCAACGACGTTGCCGCCGGATGCAGGTGCCACGTACGGGAGTTTATTGATAACAAATGTTGCAATGCAAGGCAGATCCGAGATCGAGTCAGAGTCTAATGTTGGCCCGAGCATGGCGGAGAGTCAGTTGCAACCGTCTTTATGCACTGGCAAAGGTGATGCACAATCACCGCTGACACCACAGGGAGGGGCCGGTGGGGATGGCGGGAAGGGAGGGGATGTGGAGGGAATGCACCGTTCTCGTAACCTCGACACCTTAACCGCTGATATTGATTAAAAGGGTGAGGGTGGGTGAGGCGRGAGGGGKGMRATTGGAGGGGGRGAATCCAGTGATATGATTACAACTTCACCTCTGCCTTGTTGAACGAAATTGTGTAATTGACTTGGTTTGTTGTTTTGTTTAAAACAGAATTCGTATTAGTCTCCGTAGGTACCACTTCTACATCGTTTTTCCATTTATGTATATTTTTTTTTTCACCTCAAATTTTTAATAGACCTGAGATGTTTAGATTGACTGCCCGTCTCGACGTGCAGTAACAAATCGTGGTGGGAGCGTATGTGTGGTATTGTACATCTCTCTCTCTCTCTCTCTCTCTCTCTCTCTCTCTCTTTCTCTCTTTGCGACATGGACGTGTGTGTGCGGATGTACTATATAAGGGTGGTCAATCGATGCGAGGAATGAAAGACCGAAAAATGTGAATGACGTTCATACAAGTAAAATATTAGAGAAATAATGAAAACATGCCTTGCATGCATCAACTCTCACAAAGCGTTTGGCCATGCACTCACAATACTTGCCCCGTCCGCCCGCGTGAATGTCCTTTTCCTCATCGTCTGTGGTGTGCAGTACAAATGACAACAACGGATACAAGATTGTGCAAAAGAGGATGGACAATGCATCTCGCAACTTTGTCTTTATCGGAGAGGGAGATGGCAGCACTAGNCTCTCTCTCTCTCTCTCTCTCTCTCTCTCTCTATCTATCTATCTATCTATCTATCTATCTATCTATCTATCTATCTATCTATCTCTCGTTTGTTGCGACATGGACGTGTGTGTGCGGACGTACTATATAAGGGTGGTCGATCGATGCGAGGAATGAATGACTGCATATGTGAATGACGTTCATAAAAGTAAAATATTTGAGAAATAATGAAAACATGCCTTGCATGCATCAGCTCTCACAAAACGTTTGGCCATGCACTCACAATACTTGCCCCGTCCGCCCGCGTGAATATCCTCTTCCTCATCGTCTATGGTGTGCAGTACAAATGACAACAACGGATACAAGATTGTGCAAAAAAGGATGGACAATGCATCTAGCAACTTCGTCTTTATCGGAGAGGGAGATGGCAGCACTAGCGCATATCATTCGCGAATACGGGAATAGGTATCCCGTTGTCAGCACAGAAGATGCACACAATAACGAAGTGTTGCAACTCACTCGCAACGATTTCCTTTTACTCATCGTCGAACAACAGTAGTTAAACGACAACGTGATCAACTTTTATCTCAACCTCGTACCATTAGACAACTGCTGTAGAATACAACACATAGAATGCGACGAGGATAATGAGATAGTCATTAGAGAAGAAAATGGTCGCATTCCCAGAGTATCAGTGCTGAGCTCGTTTTTTTTCGTCAAACTTTTCGATAATGACATGAGATATAGAGGCCGAGAGGTAGAACGCTGGTACCAGGATGTAATTATAAGTGACATGGATTTGATTATTGCTCCTTTCCATATCGCATACCAGGACCACTGGACCTTGTTCGTGGCTGACTTGAGGAGGAGGAAATTCGAATTCTACGACCCCCTCGACCCCGACAAGGAGTTCGCGTTAAAAGTGACCGGCGGGTTTGCAAAGTTTTTATACGAAAGATCGAAATCTCAAGGCAAAGAGGTGGACACGAGACCATTCAATCACATATGGAATGTAGAGGGCATTCCAAAGCAACATGACACGAACAAATGTGGGGTCTTTGTACTCACGTACGCGTCACTTTTGGCACGGGGCCAACTTCTGCCTTTCTGTTTCACCGCAGATGACATACCCGCGATACGTCGTCGGATAGCATTGGACATAGTGGCTCGTGAGTAGTGTGTACGTGATATTATGTAGTATGATTGCGAAGGAAGCGGACGTGGTTGACACGAGATGGCGCTTGACAAAAAACAATGTATATAAGGTGTGAATTATTCCTCGGTGCACTGTGTCACTTGCCCCTTGCATAGTACCTTACACCTTACACCTTACCCCATACACCTTACCCCTTACACCTTACCCCTTACACCTTACCCCTTATACCTTACCCCTTACCCCTCACACCAAAACGCCCATTTGTAATGGTTTTTGCACTTCAATCATCTCAAAAATGACAATTTCAATTTCGTTCAAAAAATATAAAATGTCCGTTTTGACGAAATCGTTGTTGAAGAAGATGGGGCGTCGGAGAAGCGACTCTGCATCGTCTGGTACTGTCGAGCAGCTTCCTAGCCATGCTCTGGGGAGACGAAGGTCTGTCGCCAAAGCTCAATGCGGTAGTAAGTCGGAAGACTGACGACGAACCTGTTGGTCAAAAGGACCTTAGGTAGGAGTGCCTCATCGCAAATGAGGCGGGCGTCCTGAAACACCCGGATGTGACACTCTAGGCCCGCTGGTGCGGAGGACCCACGCCACTGCGTTTGTGTGACCCGATCGATGGTGTGGGTCGCCTCGTGGAGAGTATCGTAGCGGTCATGAAGGAACGTTGTGAGATCCATGAGAGTGAGAGCCTCACCTGAGCGAGTACGATGGGTATAATAGTTCTCTCATGTGGAGAACGCGCTGCCTCGTAATTTAGTTGCGAGCATAGAGCACCACAACTCCTGACTCGTATTAGTCAGTGTCAATGCACATGTGGCAGCCTGCAACCAGTGCGACTCACGAAGTGTACCATCGTAGTCGGGTATATCCGGTAGGCGCACAAGTAGGACCGTTGTGCTGACGACGAGGGGAGAAAGGTTGATGGGACTACATTGTGGCGGCAAATGTCGGGGTCGGTGGAGGGGTGGAAGTGGTGGCAGGTTGTGGGTCAAGGCTGCTGGTGGAAGGTCCAGCAGAGGTGGAGGCCACAACCACAGCCCGTTGGGATGGAGTGGCGAGGTAGGAGGGTAGAGGGGGGGAAGCCGATCGAGAGAAACGAGTCGGCAAGATAAAGGTGGAAAGGACAACATAAGAAGAAGAAGGGTGGGCAGCCTGTGAAGGGTGAGGCTGTCTCAAGGTGAGAATCTCCGACTGGAGTTGCACGATGGTGGCCTACAAGGTAACCACTCGCTGGGTGCACGGGGTCAGAGGTGGAGGAGGCGGGGAGGGTACCATAGTGGGGGGACGAGTGACGAACTGGAGGGAACTTGAATCCTAAGGTGGGAGTGAGGAGATGATGGGAGGAGGAAGGACTCCGGTCCATAGAGTCGGGACCGAAGCAGGAAGCTGGGAAGCCAGACCGGGATGAGTAGATGAAACTGTCTGGCCAGATACTGGTATCTGGGCCGCAGCACCAACGGTAGTGGCCGAAGCGGCAGGGTCTAACGAGTGTGCCATGACAGATGGTATGGTCTGAACGGCGACAACACTCACCACTACAGAGGGGGAGTGTTGGGCCTGACCCGCGGAGGAGGATGAACCACCACGTCTCCATTTCTGGAGTCGTAGAGAGTCGAACTGTGAGTCCGTAGGAGATGGAGTCTGAGAGCGGTGGGAAGAGCGATAAGGAGAACCCTTGAGGCAGTTAACTTCAGGGGTGAGTGCATTAACTTGCCCCTCCAGGGGTACAAGTGCCTCGAGACGCGCTTGCAACGGTGTAAGGAGGGAAATAAGAACAGCGTGAAGTTCCATGGGGTCCACAGGGTTCTGACCCTGGATTGTCGGGTGGGTAGGCGCTTGAGAGACGGAGGGCGCCACAACGATCTCCTCAGTTGTAGCCCTGTCCGTGGGTAGTGGACGTATGGGAGTAGACATGGTGGGAGGTGAAGAAAGAGGCGGGGAACGAGATGGGTTCTGGCGTGGGGATAGGGGACCATCGGTGAGAGGGAGGGGACCCCCTGGATGTATCTGGTCTCCAGCTAGGTCCAAGTACATACAGGGGGTCCAGCGTTTTAAAAACGCCGTACCCTCAAGAGCAGCAAATTTAAACTGAGTTCTCAGCCAAAAAAGTTAAAAAAACTCAATTTCAATTTCGTTCAAAAAATAAAAAATGTCCATTTTGACGAAATGGCAGTTGAAAACTATTAGAGTGGCAGGTGGAGGGATGATTGGGTTGTAGTTGGGGGAGGGAAGGGGAAGAGTAGGGTGGGAGAATGGGAGAGAAAGTGGTGAGAAAAGTGGGAAGGAGGAGAAGAGATTAGTAGAAGATGGTGAGTGGGGAGGGGAGGGGAGAAAAGATGGTGGAAGATGAGTGAAGAGAGATGTAGGAGGGGGAGGGAAGTAGTGGTAGAGGTAGAAGGGGTAATGAGATGGTGTAGGGGAGAGAGAGGGGGGGGTGTGGGAGAGTAGGTTAGTGGAGAGATACCAGGCTCTTGGCTGGCCAAGAGCAACAAGGTCACCAAGATCCACTGGATCTTGGCCTTCAAGTTGCAGGCAGTCTGCTGCTGCAGCAGAAAAAAAATAATAATAATAAAATAATCAGGGGTTGGCTGGGATCTTGATCAGCCACCCTGATTGCACTGACGTGCAGCCCCCTAGCCAAGAGGGTCTTCACGCTGCCAAGGTGTTGT